TTCCTTGTACCCAGGTGTTTCTGGTTATCCAAGAAATAATTCCTCTAGAGAGGGGACACAAGGTTTCTTTTTTTTCCTTGGGGGGTGAGAATCTAAATGATTGCTTGTTGCTTAGTATCACAAACTGCCATTTTGGCAGCTATTTGAGTTGTTTCTAAGCAGGGATGAGAAAAGTTCTGCAGGGCTGAGCAGTGAGTAGAGGAAATGGATCATTTCATTGTTCTGTGGCAAAAGTCCCAACGAAAAAGGTGAAAAGCTCATTTTATTGCATTGTCTCACTCATTGAACTCAGTCAACAAGTGATGGATTGGATTCTCTTGGGGTTGGGGGTTTCTCTGCTAAAGTCTGATGCTTCTGTGCTTTGACTCAATATTTGCTCATTTCAATCCATCACAGCACATTACTAAACAATTAAATGCTCTCTTCACTCAGAGATCCTAAAGAAACAAGCCAAGAGAATGGCAACGTACTCAACATTCCCCCTTTTCAGGTGCTCAAATCAGTGTCAACTCAATGGCAAGAAGGAAGATAACGGAACAAATCATACCTGGCAGATGTTGCCGAACCCATCACTACCTTTAGCCCTGACTGTTGAGCTCTGCTAGCTGATGCTGATGGGAGCTGGAGTGCAACAACATTTGGAGGGCACAAGGTTGAGGAAAACTGTGCATCAAACAAGGGATCGTGACAGCCATGAGCCATATAGGAAATGCAAATGCTACAAAATACTATGGTCATGATAAAATGGGATAAATTGCTGTTGTTTAAAGACATTACAAGGCAGAAGTTACACATTGTCCTCTTCGACATATTTTAACACATACACAAATATAGTGGAAAACTGGTGCATGTTGATTGGAGGACTGGAAGAGAGGCTTAGCTGCCCCAGAGCCTCCTGCATCAATAGTGGTGTGTGGGTGGAAATCATGGTGTCCTAACACTGGCATCACTACTTCTTACTTGAATAGGGCAGTGATGAATTCTGGGCCGCATGGATGCCCTGTTGGGAGAATGATTGTCAATCCAGTACTCCTGTCTTCTGGATAGTGCTGGACTGCAATTGTCCATCATACCTTTCGATTATTTGTGCTAGCTACCGTAAGTCTGGTGACAACTGGAGTCCTACAACATTTTTGAGTGCCATGTTCCCCATTCCTTGTATAAATATTCCCAATTAAATAATCACCGAATTCTTAAGGTTTTAGGAGGGCAATGGGCAAAGAAACTTGCTGTGTCTTCCAAAATAGACCCTTTCTCAGCTTCCATGCTGCTATATTTTACTAGGATGTAATCTTCCTGTATTACACCTTATGGTTAATGGGCAACCCAGTGTAGCTGTCTCAAAATGTTCACGCATGCAACACCCACAACTGCAAACTGAAGTGATACATAGCCCAAGAAAGGTTCTAGTGCAAGGTCGACTAGCCTGTGCCGCTCTAGTTGTTGCTGGACTATAACTCTCATCATCCCTGGGCTATGCTGGCTGGGGCTGATGGGAGTTGAAGTTTAACAACTTCTGGTGAGCTACAGGTTAGCCACTCCTGTTCCAGAGGTTGGTTGAGTGACTCAATGAAAAAAAATGACTCTAGGCATTCTGATATAGAGCACGTTCTTTCAAAAGAAAAATGTTCACCTATACATTATATTCTTCTGAAGGCTATACTTTGAATTCCTTTTCAGGAATCATCAAATAAGTAAAACTCTTTTAAGGCTACCATTTTGTTGGAAGTCTTCAGAAGACTGTTTCTGGCTTCAAGTACTGCTTGGATTCCAGCTGAGTGGAAGATCTGAATTTCCATGGGCCTCAAATAACCACAGATCTAGTGCTACAAAACACAAAAGGAGTCATTTCCCCCCTGAAAGATAGGGTAGAAATTATTGTGAAAATAAAAGTAAAAACAGCAAAAGGCGCCACGCCATCATTTTCAACGAGGGCTCCAGTTGTGATATGAAAATGCAACTGCCTGCAAAACCAATTAATAGAGGAGGATAACTTAACATCGGTGCCATGTGGGAATGTATAGACAAGGCACTTGAGCGCATATAAGCAGATTCTGCCAGCCATGTGGAAATACTTTCATCATTAACCAACAAAGGTGATGGCTGTCATACATTATGGGGGGCGCCTAATTTAGTCTTTAAAATACCTGCCATGGTAAGAAATATTAGGGGATTTTGGAATACTTACTGCCGGGACTACAGTGCAGCAATTTCCATGCATAGTTAAAGAAGATGAGGCAGGTTAAATGGGTGCTGGAATGGAGAGATATTAGTAAATGGATTGATCCTTTACTGTTATCCACAAAAAGAGCCTGTCTGTACTTCACAGTGTCTGCCTGTAAGAAATCAAGTTCCATGTGCTACAAATTGCCATTAAGATGAATGGTGGAGCCTGTAAGTTGGCCCTCTAACCATGATGATATATGAGCAGCCAATTTGTCTCTTCAGAAAAAGAGAGAGAGAACACCTGTATTGTTGTTCGTTCCTGCTGAATTCAGCAAAGATTTTGTTAGATCAAACTCTGGACTTGCAAGTTGGAGCAACTACAAAATCATTCACAGGTGGGACTAGTCTCCTCCCGGCTCTGTTATATAGCAGCCACCTAGCTCTCTTTTTCACCTCCTTGGTTGCTTTATGACTTGCTAGATCTACTCCCTTTAATGTTCAAACATGTATACAGGTAAAGCTACTTTAAAATATACGAATTTGCCTATTTATCCATAACGGCAATTGCCACAAAAGTCTTCCCTCATCTAAAATGAAGGCATTTTTTTTTTAAGAGCAGACCTTTAAAAAAGTTATATATATTGGTTTGATGCTTAACTCAAAACAAATGGTGATGGTGAAGAATTGAGAGCAAAAGACTGCTTCATTTAGCTGTAAGATGTATTTAAATCTAGGAAACTGAAAGTGATGGAGAGGAGTAAGTGTATAATATTGTAAAGTTGCACTCAGGTTGATCTACAGTTTGCTACATTCCTTATTACAGCGGTACCTCAGGTTAAGTACTTAATTCGTTCCGGAGGTCTGTTCTTAACCTGAAGCACCACTTTAGCTAATGGGGCCTCCTGCTGCTGCCACGCCGCCGGAGCATGATTTCTGTTCTCATCCTGAAGCAAAGTTCTTAACCTGAAGCACTATTTCTGGGTTAGCGGAGTCTGTAACCTGAAGCGTATGTAACCTGAGGTACCACTGTATACTGTTATGAGTTTGTGAGTGCTAGACACCCTTAATTCCTGGGTCCAGTAGGTGCTAGAATTTAATCAATGCTTGGTGTGTTAAGACCGGATGACAAATCTGTGTGTATTAAGGCAGACCCGTGTGTATTAAGCTGTGTACTAGACACTTTTAATCCCCTGGAATCAGCAAGTGTCAAAAGCTAACACTGTGGATGTGATCATGTAGTTTATTTATTGAATGTATAGTTCACCCTTCCTCCCAAAGGAGTCTGAGGCAGCAAAAGCACAAGCAGTAGGATATCTAAAAACATCTAAAGAACAATTTCAGTTGTTTTGATAAGCTGATCCTTATGCAGACCTTTGGCTCATCTACCTCAGTATTGTCTGCAGTGGTTGGTAGTAACTCTCCAAAGTTTCAGGCACCAGGCCTGTTACCTGAGACCCAAACTGAGGTTATTCCTGGAATTGGGTAAATAGTATTCACAGAGGTATGGATTGGTTGGACCCAGAGCAGACCTATAGCATGGAGGAAGCGAAGCTTTAACTTTTAGCTGTCACACAGTCTGAATTCTACTTGGCCCCTGCTTGGTGTAGCTCAGGTATAGGCAAACTCGGCCCTCCAGATGTTTTGGAACTACAACTCCCACCATCCCTAGCTAACAGGACCAGTGGTCAGGGATGATGGGAGTTGTAGTCCCAAAACATCTGGAGGGCCGAGTTTGCCTATGCCTGGTGTAGATGCTTTTGTAGAAAGAAAGAAAGAAAGAGAAAGAGAAAGAAAGAGAGAGAGAGAGAGAGAAAGAAAGAAAGAAAGAAAGAAAGAAAGAAAGAAAGAAGCAGGCACATTGAATGCATATCACATCACACCTGCTTACAGGAAGAGTAGGAACTTGTGGCTCTCCAATTGTTGTTAGTCTCACAACTCCCATCAGCCCCAGCCAACATGACCTGGAAGCTGGAACCCACCAATATGTGGAGGGCCACAGATTGGTTAGAGCAAGGGCGGTAACTTGGCGCAGAGCAGGGGACACCAGTCCCAGCCAACATGGCCAATGGGCAGAGGTGATGGGAGTTGTGGTCTGGCAACATCTAGAGGGTACCACATTGGCTTCCCCCGACTTACAGGAACCTAGGGCTTAAGAGGCTCTAAATCTCATGCCCAAACATGACATTCTTAAGCTGCCGCAGGCCCCCCTGTGCCTTATGAAAAAAGGCGCTAATTCAATAGGAATCCTCCTCTGGCAATATATAACCAAGTTATTTACTCCAATATTTGGAGAGTATAATGGCCAAAGCTACAACCACGATACATAAGTTATTAATGTGAACCAGATAGGCATCCTTCAAAGGAAGGAATAAGGAAGGAAAAAAAGCTTAAGGTCCTTCATGTCTGTTTCCAATGTTCCCGGAAAGTATTGCTTGTTTTTAATGACTGCTGCAAGGGAAAGAAGAGGAAGGTAAGTTATGGCCGCTAGATGAAGAGTACAAAAGTGTAAAGATGTCCTGCTCTATTTTAACATGCAGTACACACATTGATCTGGATTTACTTATTTATTTTGCTTTCAGCCGGGAGGTTTAGGAGGAGAGAGGGATTCAGAAGGAAAGAGCTGCAATTGGGCAAAGTCGCAACTCCCGGTGTGGGAATGTAACTCACACCCGGGGCTGAGATCTGTGCTGGGTGTTCCAGTTTGATAAAGCACATTGGCAGAACTGCCAGCACAGCCAGCTAATCATTATTTGCAGATTGTGGGGTGTCCTGTGGGCTTGTGCCATCCCTTCTCTTTCACATGTGAGTCCAAACCTGATCCACACCATGGAGAAGGGGCCATGGCTTAACGGTATAGCAACACATACGATGCATGAGGAGGGTCCAGGTTCAATCCCTGGCATCCCTGGAAGAGACCCCCTACCTCTGAAACCCTGGAGTTAACCCTGGTGTTAAGTTATTTTGTTTTAAGGGAGGAGGGACAGGCCTGTCTGGGAGTGAGCCACATACAACAGAATGGCTGGGGTACGTCCCACTAGGGGGGATGCATTGAGATGCCTTCTGGCGGTTCCCTCACTGCGAACAGTGAAGCTACAGAGAACCAGGCCAAAGGGCCTTCTCAGCAGTGGCGCCCTCCCTGTGGATCACCCTCCTATCAGATGTCAAGGAGATAAATAGCTACACAACTATTAGAAAACACCTGAAGGCAGCCCCATGTTGGGAAGTTTTTAATGTTTGATGTTTTATTTATGTTTTTATATGTGGGGCAATCCAGTCAGATGGGTGGGGAACAAACAAACAAACAAATAATTAATAAGCATTTGTATTAAAGGTAAAGGGACCCCTGACCATTAGGTCCAGTTGTGGCCGACTCTGGGGTTGTGGCGCTCATCTAAGCCGCTTCTAGCGAACCAGAGCAGCGCATGGAAACGCCGTTTACCTTCCCGCCGGAGTGGTACCTATTTATCTACTTGCACTTTGACGTGCTTTCAAACTGCTAGGTTGACAGGAGCAGGGACCGAGCGACAGGAGTTCACCCCATTGCGGGGATTCAAACTACCAACCTTCTGATCGGCAAGTCCTAGGCTCTGTGGTTTAAACCACAGCACCACCCGCGTCCCTAAGCATTTGTATTAAACCATGGTTATTTCAACCCAATTTGGAAACCCACCTCTACTCCCCTCCCTGCCCAACACATTATTTAAATAGCAGAGAGGAAGAATAATTCTAATCCTAAACAGTGAAATTACTCACAAACTCTGGTCTCCTGATTGATATGTGTGTGTGTGGATAGATGAAGTTGTCCAAGAGTGTGTGTGGGGGGGGGTGTTTGTGTGTGCGCTGTTGCTACCTTTTCCAGCTTCCACAAGTGCTACACTCCCTGCTACTCTTGGGATCAGAAGCATTGCGGAGACAAGACTTTGCTGGCTTGTGAAAAGTTAATGCAGCCTGTATAAAGAACCAATGATCCACATTCATGAGGTACTCATTTGTACAAGATTTACTGCATGCAATTATGAACCTTATAGTCTTATTGCCTACCTAGTCAGATTATATTTCATTGAAACGATCCTCATCTCCACTACAACCAATAGTTAAAATACCTAGTGACTTGTCAGTCCTGCTTCTTTAGCTCTAATGAGTTAGCTGCGGACATGAATCAGTAGAGGTTAGACGAGTGCAGCTCACTTGAACCTACTGAAGGGGTGCTATGTGGCTCAGAAGGGATCTTGTTAATGATTCACATTTAAATTGGTCAGTGGGGCTGAGGTTCTTGGTTACAGCAGGATCGAGAATGGGATACATGAACAGTTTTGTGTTCTAAAGTGCCGTGAACCGAATCCTTTCAGGACATGATTGTGGACATAGCTCGATTTTAGAGAGTTAGCTGAAGGCTTTTTCGTAGGCTGATATACTGAAGTAGCAAGGTGCTGATTCACATCCACAACCAATAATAATGTATTGAATCTTGCACAAATGACTGAATACAACACACTGTTTGTTTTACAGTTAGATACTGGATCATTCCAAAAGTGGCTTTTTGGTTATTTATTAGTTTGAAATATGTGTTATCCATTTTTTATTGCATCAGTACTCCCAGATCAACATACCTACACAATTTAAAAATATAGCACCTAGGATAAAGCATAAAGCATATTAATTACAATCTCGACAGCCAATAGCAGTAACTGTTTAGATGCTAGGCAAAAATGTTCCTCTTCAACCAGATCTCTGGCTGATTGACATCCAATGCCCTTTAAAATACTTTAATGCTACTACAACCTGTCATTGTTGAAGGAGCGTCTCCACCCCCATCGTTCAGCCCAGACACTGAGGTCCAGCTCCGAGGGCCTTCTGGTGGTTCCCTCACTGTGAGAAGTGAGGTTACAGGGAACCAGGCAGAGGGCCTTCTTGGTAGTGGCGCCTGCCCTGTAGAACGCCCTCCCATCAGATATCAAGGATATAAACAACTACCTGACTTCAGAAGACATCTGAAGGCAGCCCTGTTTAGGGAAGTTTTTAATGTCTGATGTTTTATCGTGTTTTTAATATTCTGTTGGGAGCCGCCCAGAGTGGAAACCCAGCCAGATGGGTGGGGTATTATTATTATTATTATTATTATTATTATTATTATTATTTCATGTATGGTCTACGCCTTAAGGCCTAGGGTGCATTTTGAAAATGTATGACTAGATGGAGCCCCAAATGAACATTTATGCCTGTGCATCCAGTAGCCAAACTTAAAGAGATTTGCGAAGCAAGCAAGCCAACAAACAAGACACTCCCTGAAACACAAGCAATTCCTTCACCTGTGAAAATTGCCCAGAAGACTGAGAACTTGATTCAATAGTGAAGTTTGATACTGCTGAAATCTAGACTGCACTCCAAAATGGAAGACACTAGCTCAAAACTGGCTATAAAGCCTGTCGCCTTCCTTTGAATGATATACAGTTTCCAGTTCCACATGGATTTTTCTTTTCTGGGGGATATCTTACTGAAAGGAAACAAACAAATAGTAGAGGGCCCTGGTGTTTTGCTGATGGTCATGGCCCTTGATGTGGCCATGCCATAGTTCATGCTGCCCTCCCAGCAGCCATGCAGGGGTTTATGTGAAAGGTTAAAGTCAGGGTGTCTTTCAAACGAATTTCAGAATTTAATTAACTCTGCCCCATGTTTGCAGCCCTGTGATTTCTCTTACCATTAACATGAACTCACATGCGGATTAAAGGGAAATAAAACTTACAATTTGAGTTCAATTCAAAACTGATTGGAAACATGGATTGCCTTTCCTTGACCTGGCAGTGAAAGAGGGAAATTATTATGGCTCTTTAGTGACTTTGTAAGCTCCTTATTGCCTTGGCTGATTTAATCTCGCTGAGAGAAAATGTGATCAGGGGGAATACTCTGTTCCCATTTCAGTTATATTTTACTTAGCCTGCTTTTCATACTGAACAAGCGTCGTGCCATTTTGGAGTATTCCAATAAGTTGGAATATTTTAGAATGCTGCTGGCATTTAATACAACTAATAATACATGTCTTCAATTAATATTATAAGTATCTTATGAATTATAATAGAGAGAAGAAACCTCAAGACTCTATGTGCATCATTTCGACAGAAACAAGGCAGCAAGAAATTCTGGGGAGGGGAGCCCCTGGTGAGTGAAAGGGCTACATATGGCCATAATTACTAGTCAATTGTGTAAAAGTTTCATATAGGGTCCAACACATGGAAGCAGAATATGAGATCCTCCAGAATGGAGCCAACCAGTGGTATTTTTATTTACATTAACAGCCTCTTGATTTATCCCTCAGTAGCTAGAAATTATTTCAGTGATGGGTATTCATCCAATATCTGCAGTACTCCTAATCCTATATTTTAATGATTTATTGCCATTCAGTAAAGTCTAGTGAGACTAAATGTAGGTATTTTCTGTAACACATACCTATATATCTCATTGACTATGGATATTACAGACCATGCCCCCCCCCCCGGACAAATTGTCTGGGTTAGGACTTGGAGGAATGATGATGGCTCTGGTCTTTCCTAGAATGGTAGCAATGGAAGACTTTTCATTCATCTTTTGGCCATTGATCTACAGGGTCCCAGAGATCAATGTTCCTCATGATATTCAACATCTACATAAAACTGCAGAGGTAAGTCAGCTGGAGGTTGGGTGTGAAGTATCACCAATTGGTGAAAGTCACTCAGCTCTACTTCCCTGTTCCACTGGTTGTTCCAGTGGGGCTACTGAATAAATGGTATCAAAGTTGGCTGAGTGACTTCAAAAAAAGGAATTTCCAAAAGGGGAGAAATCACTTCTGGAATTGTCATCAAAGGTGGGGGGAGATACATTTAGTAATTTGAACATAATCTTATTTCTGATGTAATAATTTCTGCTGATTGGCAGCAGATAAGGGAGGCAAACAGAATGTAACTGAAGCTGAGTGCTTGACTCAAGAACGGCATATGTCTTCTTCCATGATTTATATTAGTTTATGTTATCGCTTGGATGGAGAGGAGACAAGAAAATTCCACATAAGGCTCTGAACTATAAGCCTTGAGGGGCTTAGAGCTGTGTTTGTACCAAGCAGTCTATTCATTCAGCCACAGTCACTCTTAGTTAATGACTTTTTCCTGTTATCATGTTGAAGGAAGAGGCTGGAAAGAAGACGCTTGATACGCTTGGCTAGGAAAGGTAATGTTGCTATTAGCCAAGAGTGTCTCTCTATTAACCTTATGACCAACCATTGTGTGGTTTCAGACTGTCAGCCTTGGCTGTGCACATTCTTCAGATACTCTTTGTCAGAGATGTTGCTGGTTCTGAACCATAAAGTGGCATGTTTCTAGTCTGGACCATTTTGCCTTGGTTCCTTTTCATGAACTGGTAAGAATAACGCTTATGTTACTTAGTAATTAATCCACACCTGTAAGTTATTATTTGGGGATTTGTGACAATCTGTCGTTCACAGTAGCATAGCATGGGTTGCGAGTGCCCGGGGCTGTGAGATGGATGGGGTGGGAAGGAGGGAAATGGACAGAGTACACATGTGTATTCAACTGCCTACTGGATTCCACATCACCCAGGAAGACTGCAGCCGGAGAGATAAGAAGAGTCATTCCGTTGTCTGGAGAGGTCACATCATGGTTTGCATGGAGAAGCCATTTTCAATGGATCCCAGCGATGGAGACAAGCAGCTGTATTGAGGCAGCACCGGGTGTTGAAATGTTGCGGCCTTAACCATTTTGAGCCCAGGGCAACCATCCCTTTGCCCCCTGACATGCTACACCACTGGTTGTTCAGAGTAGGGCAGCAGAGGAAACAGATGTTCATACCCATTATAATTAATTGTCATCAGGGCAAAATCTGAAGACACCTGACTCAGCAGTGACTCTGAAGTTAAGCAGATCTGACTCTGATCATGTCTGGATGGATGACCATCACCAAGCAGGGAGGGTCCTACGTGTGCCCATCAGATGCTCCATGAATTCCAGTGTGATGCTGGTGGAAAGATAACTAGAACAAGCACTAATTGCTTACGGCTTTAATGGAGAACATTTTGTTTTCAATGAACCAGTTTAGGCACTAGAAAAGGACATTTTGGAGGATGGCAAATAAACTGATAAATTTAAACATGTGTAAGCTAAATGGGTGCTCTGTTGTGGGAGATTGGTAAATTCCTTGCATCATCACTCCTCGTTTTATAATAAACCATGGAAGAGCACCATGGATCATGTCCCTAACACTGCTGTTTTCTGAAATTCTACACTTGGCCTTCAATTGCTCTGTGCTACTGGTCTTGGTACCCCTAACCCACCATCTCAGGCCCTGCTCTTCAAGTGTGGTTTTGCTGGCATGAGCAGACTGGGTTTTGCAAAGCTAGTGAGTGACAGGTGCTTGATAACTGAATTCAGTGTAGGAATGGCCCTTCAAAATGCTTCCAAGCATAGATTATATATCCAGATTCGCAATTTCTCCGTTATACTGCTAACTAAGTGCACATTTTGTATGACTGATGGCTTTTTAAAGCACATTTTGACTGTCTTATCTGCAGAGCAATGAATTCTTTTGCCTGCGAAACATCCATTATCGCTTTCATAGCACACTGTCATTTTAATAAATCTTCTTCATAAAAGAAACTGTAAATTCTGTAATCACCACAATTGTGTCGACGCTCACAGCACTGAAGCTGGAACAGAACTATTTTAATCTTCACTTTATTTTACATTCTCACTGTATGTTTTATTCCTCTGTACCAGCAATGGGGAACCCAGAGACCTACAGTTGTTGAACTACCACTCCTATCATCTCTGACCATTAGCCATGCTAGCTGGGGGGTGGATGAATCTGCCTGTTTTCTCTCAGGTTCTCCAATCATGAATTCAGTTCACCAAATTTCTGTATCAGTTTGCTATTTTTCTTTTTAATAAAAGGTTCTCACAAAAATTAACCACCAGTTTAGTGGTCATTTCTTCTAAAGTGCATATTTTTGTATGAATGATTGTCTCACATTAACGCATTTTTGGGATGTAATTTTCACAGATGCATGAATTTTCTCAACACTTTCCCTCACTGTATGCATTCTTGTACACTTTTGCTGCCGTTGCTGGACAACCCAGCATAGTCCAGCATAGCTCAGTCGGTAGAACACAAGACTCTCAATCTCAGGGTTGTGGATTTGAGCCCCACATTGGGAAAAATATTCCTGCATTGCAGGGGGTTGGACTGGATGATCCTTGGGGTCCCTTCTGACTCTACAATTCTATGAACCCCGTGACAAAATTTTGAGGAGTGTAACTGTTGAAGGATCTCTGCCTTTAGGTTTGTGAATTGTTTTGAGAATTGCAAGTTAGGTGGGTTCGTATTCAAATGCCAATGCAACCCAATGGCTCTCCCATCCCTGGGGGTTGGAGTCAAGAGGCATTTGGAAGGCCTGCAGCTTCCTCATCCCCTTGCTGCCCCGGTTCTTTCCATGTCTCCAATATCCAGATCCTAGGGAAATAGAAAACACTGTTATTCCCTTCTCCTCCTTTTACTCTTCACTTCCCAGAGACCTTGTAGCCTGCCAGCAGTAGTAATCCTAAGCCACTTTGTCAGCTTTCTGCCAGTTCCTCTCCCCTTTTTCTCACCTATTGTTTTACACTCTTTCTGTTCCTGCTGACCCCGCTAATCAAAAGTTAATTATTCCCACTGGCAAAATCAGCAATCAAAATTCCTCCATCCCATAGTGTGACGGAAAGGCCAGCTGTTGCGCTGTGTGTGATACTAATACTAAAGCCAAGCAATGCTACTGCTGGACCTGTCACCGTTAAATCACAAGGCAGGGTAGGCTGCTGTCAATGAAATATCCTGCTTTGTTTACAGAGAGCAGGACGGTATTGTTACATTCTGTGTTAGTTCAGGCAAGGAAGGAAACGGCTGGGAATGACCTAATGCAGAAGGCGACAAATTTTGCACATCACAGCTGACACATGGCTGTGGAAGGCACGTAAAACAGTTCACTTAAAACCACTGTGCGGTCATTTTTGTTCCCAGAGTCAAAGGGCAAGAACTTTGAGCAATAGTTTGTTGTGTCTCAAATCTCAATTAAATTATATTACTTTTTATTGAGTACTGTGTTGGACTGCCTTTGTTATCTATGCTGCCTCCTACCCAAGGGTGCTGTGGAGTGGCTGTTCTTCATGCAAACAATTCTTTTTGCAATATCCACATGACATCATCGGCATCAAAATGCCATTCTATTCTTTCCCTCATTTAATCAAGATTTACCCTTTCCAGGGAGTTAAAAAATCCTGTGGCCAGCAACCCATATATGGTATCTGAATGACTTTTTACAACAGAGGTGGGGAACTTTTGTTCAGGCTGTGGGACACATTCCCATCTCGGCAACCATGTCTGTGTCAGAGACAAAACTGGGCAGAGCAGTTACGGTACATTTTACCTTCGTACAGGAGACTAGTTTCTACACACACATACCCCTTATCTGTCTTCCATCCTGTCAACAAAGAAGCATTACAGTGGTACCTGGGGTTACAGACATTTCAGGTTACAGACTCCGCTAACCTGGAAGTAGTACCTTGGGTTAAGAACTTTGCTTCAGGATGAGAACAGAAATCGCACAGCGGTGGCGCAGCGGCAACGGGAAGACCCATTAGCTAAAGTGGTACCTCAGGTTAAGAACAGTTTCAGATTAAGAACGGACCTGCAGAACGAATTAAGTTCTTAACCCGAGGTACCACTGTATCAGTGTTCAAGGCCACTTCCAACTAGCTTCAGGAAGCCATTTTAATTTCCTCCCAATGCCTTCAAGCAATGCTGTCTTGGGTGATCCAGGGTATAATAATAATAATAATAAATAATAAATTTTTATTTATATCCCGCCCTCCCCAGCTGAAGCCGGGCTCAGGGCGGCTAACAACAATAAAATTAGAAGAAATTAAAACGACTGCTTGCTACTGCGGCCAGCAGCCCATCCATATCAGAAGGGTCCACTAGAGTAGGGTTGGCTCAATATATTTTGGCACCTGAGGCGAACCACAAAATGGCGCCCCTTCCCCACCGTGGAAAAAGGGTTGAGTGAAGATCTGCATCAGGAACAAGGGGGATAATAAAGATCAACATTGGGATCTGCTCTTGCTGTGGATCCCACCACCTGAAGTGGTCACCTCACCTTGCCTGATGAATGGGCCGGCCCTACACTAGAGGGCAGATTACCAGTGCTCCCACCCCCAACCTAGAGCCAGCCTTGTAGATTGGGTATATGGAAGGAGGGTTAGAATAGTTTGTGAACCTGTCAGGATCCTCCAACCTCCATTCATGATCTTGGTCACCTGATCTTGGAGTTTGCAGGCTTTATCTTTGTTATGACAGCATTCCCTGAAACAGAAGTTTAATATGAATTGATTGTACATGTGTGTAGTGGTGGTGGTGGTGGTGGTAATGGGTAAAATTCAACTAAGTTGTCTGCACAGAATAAGGTCCACTTATGCAATGGGGCTTTGCTCTCTATACTCCCCCCGGACTGCACTCTCTAAATTTGCTGTGGAGGGGAACTCCTAGAACAGATTTAGTGTGTGTGAGGGTGCCTAGAAGAAGGGGTGCAATCTCATTGTGCGAATGGACCTCATTCTGTACACACATATTTCACTTAGTGCTCCACTGAATTCCATCCATTGTTTTAATTTTGTTAAAATATACAATTGTTTTTAAATTGTATACATGTTTTCATGTATGCAAATCTTTTAGCTGTTTTGACATATGCAGTTGTTCTGTGTACATTTTTATTGTATTGTAAATCACGTTGAGATGCCTCATGGGAAGGGGCTCATAAATGAAATAAACAAGAGTAATACATGGAATGCATCTCTTTATAAAGTCATATTCGTCTCTGAAAAATGGACCTAACCCTTTCAGGAGTTTGGCAAAGCACAGGAGCGTAGTCCTTAGTTTTGTAATTACACTCCAGCCAGTTTTCAGGAAGACTTGTACGCTGAGGTGGTAGCAAGGAAAATGTGCTTTCAGTAAAGGACCCCTCCTTTCATGGCAATTTGGGAATTTGTTTTTATTTCATTCTCCTCTACAATCCATAAACAATATTGTTTTCATTTAATTCTGGGAACATAATGAGTTGTTATAGGCTAGTTTCCTGTTCAATGCAATATCTTTACTAGACGCTGGGTTTACTTCACAAGCTAGTTATAAATTTACCTCAGCCTCATCTGTTCTACCTGGGGACCAATCAATATGAGGAAATGTTCATGGAGAGGTTTGAATCCTTTGTGCTCACTGAAATTCAGAGGCATGATGGGGGGCATTTATTCTCAGCGTTCTGAATAAGGTTGGAGAAGTTCCTAACCGAATACCAGGAACTGTGCATAATATACTATCCCTGGGTATACTATACCTCCTGCAGATGTGCAAAGAACCTGCTAAAGGGTTTGGCATGATGCCTCAATACAGGAAAATGCATCTGCCAGGACCACCTCTGATCTCTTGTATGCTCTTACATGAATGAATCTGTTATACTAATGCAGAGGAAGAAAAGAAAGCCAGGCGTTTCATCTACCTGAAATTATCCTGTGGGAGCTTCCACACGTTTGAGGCAGCTCATGGGGACAACTCTTCCAGTCTGTCTGGGTCCTCTTTTTAATTTGTCTCAAAGCCAAAATCACTAACTTAACTAAGTAAGTATTTCTAAGATGAACACCTAATAGGTTTTGACTGTTTAAAGGAAGAAAGGGTTACTTCTTGAACACAATGGGAAGGGTGGTAGATAGCAAAAAATAAACTTATTTCTGGAATCAAATCTTAGGGCTTGGGTCAAAACTCCCCTGGGATTAATTTTCCAGTAACCTTGATCATACATCATGGTAAGCTATGAATTTTGACTTACTGTGTACAAGTGAAATTGTGTCTGTTTCGCTTCTCTATACCCATGTTGTGTGGAAAGGGATGCAGAATAGTGAGGGGGACCATAGAAATGTAGAGTTGGAAGGGACCACGAGGATCATCTAGCCCATCCCCTTGCAATGTAGGAATCTTTTGCCCAATGTGGGGCTCAAACCCACAACCCTGTGCTTAGGAGTCTCATTCCCTACCATCTGAGCTATCCACAGGACTAGCTTCTCATATCGATTCCAAATAATCAGCCAAACATGGGCTACGGGTCTCTAAAATGCTGTTTATACAACTGATACCGCACTGCTACTAAGCCATTGTGGTGTAGTGGTTAAGAGCGGTAGTCTCGTAATCTGGGAAACCGGGTTCGCATCTCTGCTCCTCCACATGCAGCTGCTGGGTGACCTTGGGCTAGTCACACTTCTCTGAAGTCTCTCAGCCCCACTCACCTCACAGAGTGTTTGTTGTGGGGGAAGAAGGGAAAGGAGATTGTGAGCCGCTTTGAGACTCCTTAGGGTAGTGATAAAACAGGACATCAAATCCAAACTTCTACTGTGTTATTGCCGCTTCCAGGCAACCAAACTGCAGAACCAAACCCACCCCACAAGCACATCTCAGTACACGCAAATGAGACAGTATGTTCAAGGGCCCAGAGCAATTCTACAGGAATGTTATTTTTGTATTGGCTGGTTGTACTTTGAAATGGTGCTTGATTCAAGCATATTTCCTGTGGCATGGTGTCACTCCGCATCTGTGTTTGGCTAGCAGTAAACAAGAATGGCATTGTTTGTTTCTGAGTTGGAATCTGAGTGTGAAGTGACATTTCAGGGAGCTTAAGGTTTTTTTCCTCGCTGTCTTGCCTGAAGCTGTTTTCCCTCAGCTATTGATATCCTAGCTGGCTTTCAAGTGCATGAGTGAATTTCCCAACCAGCTGTCACAGGTTTGTCCTAATGCTACCCTAGCAAAAGTCTATTAATCTGAGGAGCTCCAGTGACACACCCGGCGACTGGAGATAACAAGAACCACAGGTTTCTGACTGAATGTGTGTCCCAGACAGTGCTTTTTTCTGGGGGGATGTAGGGGTATGCATATCCCTAAACATTTTGTGACTCTAAGTTTGGCCTCATTGAGTAGGAAAATGAGAGTACCCCTAAACATTTTTTAAAGGAAAAAAAGCACTGGTCCCAGATATGAAATCTGGATAATCATCCTGCATATGGTCCATGTTTCCCAAAGACACATCCCCATCTCTCTCTCTCATGAAGAACATAAGAAGAGCCTGCTGGATCAGGCCAATGGCCTATCTAGTCCAGCATCCTGTTCTCACAGTGGACACCCAGATACCTGTTGAAAGGCCACAAGCAGGACCTCAGGGCAAGAACACTCTTCCCTCTTGTGGTTTCCAGCAACTGGTATTCAGAAACATTACTGTCTCCAACCATGTGGGCAGAGCAGAGCCTTCATGGCTTGTAGCTGCTAGTAGCCATCTCCTCCGCTAATATGTCTAATCGTTTAAAGCCATCTAGGTTGGTGGCCATGGCTTTCTCCTGTGCAAGCAAGTTCCATGGTTTAACTATATACCACATGAAAAGGTGCTTTATCTGTTCTGTAACTTCCAGCATTCAGCTTCATTGGATGTCCACAGGTTCTAGTATTATGAGAGAGGGATAAAAACTTTTCTCCACCCACTTGTCCCAGGCTGAGAAGTGCCATCAGCTGTGTTTGACAGTGGCTAAAGGTTCTATTAGCAGGGCCATCTGTGAGAATAAGCCTCCTATGCATCCTCAAGAGCTTCCTTCTATTTATTTGTGAAATATCGGAGGCCATGGGTTATGTCCAACTAAGTTCTACGCAGAGTAGGCTCACTGAAATTAATGAACCTAAATTAGCCATCTCTATTAATGTCAATGGGTGCCCTTTCAAGCAAGGTAGCTGTCAGGGCTGGAGGCAGACGCAGGTCAGCACGCAAGAAGCAGTTTGTCAGTAAAGTTAACTTCTTATTCAAGGAAATGGCACACAACTCAGCAACTCTTCCTAGCAGGATTTGCCCCTATAGAGCAGTTGCCAGGACTGAGGGTTTCCCCTCCCTCTGCACTACTCTAAATCTGTTGCCCAAGCTCAAACTATGCCTGAACACCTCTGGTCACTGTTCTGCTCTGCTCATTATCCTGTGTAATCTTGGAGACCAGTGGGGAGGGGAGCTTGCTGCAGTAGGAGAGGGAGACTCCCAGGAGTCTTCAGAAGTCTCTTGACCTGCCTCCTCTGCTTCAGCCTCAGAGTCTGAACTGCTCCCTGCCACCAGCTCCCCTTGCTCACCAACTCCTGTTGCCCCTTCAGCATCTGACACTTCCTCTCCCCAATCTTCTCCCTCTGACCGTTCCTCTGTGTCCCACCACCAATCCCCTGGCTCTGAGCCTCCCTCCTCTGGGGTTTCCCTTGGTGGGTTTCCCAGCTGGTGCCACCCACCACTCCTCTTCATCCTTGACAGTTGAAGCACTGCTCTCCTCTCTATGAAATCACAGAGCTGGAAGGATTAAGAAAGCCGTCACTTCCATTCTTATTCTACCACTGCCTCCTCCATCACAGGTGTGTACTGCCATTGCCGTGGGCACCCCTGCCACTGCTGCAGGTAGAATACCCACAGTGGGGAGTGCACACCAGCTGAGGCAGGGGTGCGGCATGCCCATGGCAGCGGTAGCAGCTTAAGTGACAAGACATCCCAGGCTGGCCCTGCTTGGAACTCCCCATAGGCCACACCACTCTCTAGCCCTGCTTGTGTTTACACTTGGTTGGGAAGTGCCCTTGAGCTCTGAGGATGCCTCTTGCTTATCTGGATGGAGGACATACCATGGTGTGTGTGTGTGTGTGTGGAAACGAGCCTAGCATACAAAGTACGCTATTCGATGTAAAATTAAAATTTGCATTTGTTGGTCCACTGTTGCATCCGACCTCCCAAAGGTTGTCCCAAAGAGAATGTAGATCTTGGGCTGAAAAAGGTCCCCAAGCCAATTTACAGGTTTTCCCTCCAATGTGTGTGTGTTTTTCGGGGACACTTATAGTATATTAGGTAACACTTCATGCACCACAGCAATCATCCCACAATAAATATTTTAGGTACAAGAAGACAGTTTCCACCGTATTCCTTTTCTTTCAGGTCTACACTTATAGAGGAGATCTGGAGAGATACAGCAGGTGCCCGTAAGAATCCAAGGTGTGTGCTGCTCAGTACAATCGGACAGTTTCAAAAGGCCATATTTTCAACACCCTGGAGGGAATGTGTTGGAAATACAAAAAGGCAGCCAGAGAGATCTTAAGGGCCAGCAATTAGTACTGCCTTTCGACCTCTTCAACTCTGTTATCAAAAGGGTCATCCCTGCAAGCAGTTGCTATTAAAGGGGTGGAGCAGGGACAGGAAAGAGCACGACCTTGTCCATTAAAGCTGGCACATGTCATAAGATCAATGGGAGATCTTGAATAGCTTCAGTTGTCAGCCTGTCAGCTTGTTGATGTTACCATTAGGATGAAATGCTGGCATAAAGCGACTGAGCGGGAGTGGAGAAGGGGTGGAGATACAGAAAACATTATGAGGCACCACCTGCATTCTTTGGGTTTAGACATTATCAGCCTGCTACAGTTGAGGCAATATTTTATGAGGAGTGTGAAAATCTTAGAAGATTGTGCAATGTCCTGTGAGAATTGTCATCCAAGGGAAAGCTGAATCACCATACATATCTATGCCGCCCCCCGCTGCCACTCAAACTCATTTAAGAAATACACATTTAATTATAAAAAAACTCTACTACTTCTCCCAGAAACTGAGTGTTTATTATTAAAGCCATAGACCTTTGTACTTACTATTAACAGATATGATTTTTTAAAAAATGGATGATATCATATGAAATGAGATGGTGTGAAAAGACCCTTTCATTTCGGTAGATAAATCTAAAGGTCAAAATCAGAATGGGCAAAGAAAGAGGCGAGAGGAACAGAGAAGGATGATGTGACCAAAGACTTCAGAGTAAGTTTAGAAGTCTGGAATAAGAGACAAGGTCCTCTTGTGGATCATGAACTGGTTAAGTAATAAGAAGCAGAAAGTAGGAATGAAAGGGCAATTCTCCCACTAGGGGGTGGTGAGTCCTTCAAGGATCAGTATTGAGGTCTATGCTTTTTGACCTAGAGTTACGAGTGAGCTGTGAGGTGGCCAGATTTGCTGATGAGACCTGATGGTTCAGGTTAGTTGAAACAAAAGGGGATTGTGAAGAGCTCCAAAAGGATATCTCCAAATTGAGTGAGTGGGCGGTAAAATGACAAATGCAATTCAGTGTAAACAAATGTACACTGGGTCAAAAATAAATAAATTCACGTACCTCCTCATGGGGTCTGAATTGGTGTTGTCTGACCAGGAACTAGACATTGGGGTCATAGTGGATAACTCAATGAAGATGTTAACCCAGGGTGCAGCAGCCATGAAAAGGGCAAATTGCATGCTAGGTATCATCAGGAAAGGGCTTGAAAGTAAAACTGCTAATATAATAAGGCTGTTATACAAATCTATAGTGCTACTGCATTTGAAATACTGTGTACTGTTCTGGTTATCACACCTCAAAAAGGATATTGCAAAGTTGGAAAAGGTCCAGAAAAAGGCAAACAAAATGCCCAAGGGAATGGAGCGAATCCCCAGTGAGGAAAAGTTGTAGCATTGGGGACATTTAAGTTTAGAGAAAGGGTTAGGAGAGGCAATGTAAGAGAAGTGTATAAGATTATGGATAGCATGGAGAAAGAAAATAGATAAAAGTTTCTCTCTCACACTCTCATATAACACCAAACCTCATGGTCACTCAGTGTGGGAAGATTCAAGAGAGATAAAAGAAAGTGGTTCTTCTCACAGAGCATAGTGAATCTATGGTACTCACTCCTAAAAGAGGCAGTGATGGCTTTAAAAGATAATTAGACAAATTCATGGAGGATAAGAGGCTCTCAGTGGCTACTAGCCATGATGGCTATGCTCAACGTACATTGCCAGAGACTGTATGCCTCTGAATGCAAGTTGCTGGGTTTCATGAGTAGAGAGAGTGCTGTTGCCTTCAGGCCCTGCTGGTGGGCGTCCCATAGGCATCTGGTTGGCCACGGTGAGACCATGATGCTGGACAAGAGGAGCTATTGGCCTGATCCAGCAGGGTTGGTCTTATGTTCTTTGAGCCTGATCAAAAGTGGCTCTCTATCATGTACACAAGACCCCCGGTGACATCCCCATTCAATGCAATGTGAGCACTGCATGCAGCGGGGACACCAGAAGTAAACAGAAAAGTTCTGGTACATGCAAGAATCTCACGCATATATCAGGGCTCTCGCACCTGAAAGTTGCTGCTCATTCTGATTATTTGTTTCTTTGCTTTTCATTTGTCAATAACCCTGTCATATTACAGCCAGGCTATTAATTTTTATACTGTATTTCAATGCAACATTCCCTTGGGGGTTCTGCTAGTGCATAAGTAACTCTTAAAAGTAAGCTATTTTTTTAAAAAAAAATAGGGGGGCATACCTAAAAAAAAAGAGGTTTACAAAAAGATTTGGTTTTCAGTGAAATAACATTTATTGCTCCTTTTCCTTTTGCTCTCATTAGGAACAACTCTGCACTGCCTTGCTTTTGTCGTGAGCGTATAAATAAATAATGCCTGTTTCAGACCATAAAGAGCCAGCATGAAATGAATCGTATGCAACTACCACATCTGGAATAACAGTCAACATATTTTAGAGGCAGACTTCATTTTTCTCACACACGACACTAAATCACGGAGGTTACATGTGCCAAAAATAACACAGGAGGTTATGACTATGGGAGGACATGAACCTATAATGAGGTTCAATAAAACACTAATCTTATTGGGTAATGCAATCTGGTTTGCTTTTGCTTTGAAAATAAATAAATAAAGGGAGTGTCTGGGAGTTTATTTTGGGTGTGTGTGTGTGTGTGTGTGTGTGTGTGTGTAGGGGCTGCATTTGAGTATTGTTTTGTCCTCCTTTCACTTCTCACTTGCCCATCATTTCAGTGTAAGATGGTCTGGTAAGGAAATGGACAGTATTAGAGGAGTAGTGGTTAAATGAGGCATGTGAGGAGCCTGTGACCCTCCAGATGTTGTTAAACTCCAACTCCCATCAGCCCTACCCAGCACGGTAAATGGTCAGGATGATGGAAGTTGTAGTTCAGCAGCACCTGACTCCTCACCCCTGTGTTAGAGCGTTTGCTTGAGAACTTCTGGAGGCTGTAACTGAGGCAGGAGGCATTTCATCAGATCAGATGTCATTTGCTCCCTCTCGCTTCAGTTCTTTAAATACCAAGCCACTAATTTTATCTTGTTGAGGTTTGGGGAGGGGGAGAAGTTAGCCGCTGTCAGTGTTTGGTTCTGGAAAGTAGCAAAATGAGTCTAGTTTTGTTTTCCCCACCAGGCCCAGTTGATACCTTCATGTTTCAAGGAAGGTTTTGTACAAATTTACAGGTGTGACTATTGAGGTGCATTTGGAGTCTCTCTCTCTCTCTCTCTCTCTCTCTCTCTCTCTCTGTGTGAAATATAAAGTAGTGGACTGAAGTGAATCCATGGGAAACCAGATCTTCAGTAATAGAAGTTGGTGTCAAAACATGGCCATTATGAGTCTCTCATCTTTGCAACATGCATTTATATGTATGTGTCATGGATAAGGACCCAGTAACCATTAGGAAGTCCATCCTAGTGCAGTGTACATGTGGGGGAGGGGGGCACACCTGTTGCTGTCCAGACATTGAAATGAAAACTGTCATTGGTACCAAGCATACAGAGAAGCCAGTTCAGATACAAGGCTGGACAAAGGGCTTCAGCCTAGGATTGGCTAGCAGGTGGGAGGTGCCACAGACCTGGCATTGCTGCTCACCTTACCCACCTTTGGGTCCCAACTTATGGTGTAGAAAAAACCAAGCTGAAAGGACCAATAAAACAGTTCCCTATGTCCCTTTGTCTGGATTAATAATTTCCTACACTATGGGCTGGTACGATGCAGGAGTTCCTCCATTACTCCATGCCGTGCTGTGAGCAACATGTCAAATCCTCCAGTGGGGAGTGTATGACGACAACCTTACGTTTGTATGTCTATAAGAAGACATTTATAGCCTACCTTCCATCATGGAAATCAATGCAATGTAGGTTTATTTCTCAGGTGGGCACCACCCAGGAACTGACCGAGGTGCTGATCTCATGTGCCTTCACACCATACCCTGGGAGCACTGGCATGACAGATGATCATGGATGGTGGGAGAATCTAACCGTAGCAGAGCACATACTTGGCAAGCCGAAGGTCCTAGTTCAATCCCTGAGACCCTTCAGAGCCACTATTAGTCACTGTAGAGTCCACAGTGGACAGCACTGTGAACACAGGCACTGAGCTAGATTGTGGACATGGTCCGATTTTGTAAAAGGCAACCTCCTATGTTCTTCTGCATTAGCGTCTTCATTAACGATGGATGTAAGGCTGTGATGAGCAACATTATTTCTGATTCCCGAAGCTAGAATTGAATTAAAATAGCTGCTATCAGAGGTATTTCCTGGAGTGACAATTGTTCTCATTTCATTGGGTAGTTTGGCAATGGAAGATACTAGAGAGCCAGATCTACCAGCCATGTTATCTGCTGAAAGTTGCCCCACTTCTGACAGCTCTTTAAAAGCACAAGCAGTTATATATAGAAAATTATTGTGGCATTATTATTACTCATAAATTATTTCTCCTACTTTCTAGCTCCATCTGCTGGAAAAGATCCATGGAAGTATTCATAGGCAATAAATAATCTGTACATTAAGCAAATATTTACCAGAGCAGACCTGGGCACGATCGGTTCAAAATAGAATCCCGCTGGTGTCTTTGGGAAGAGTTAAGCAAATGCTTAATTTTCTGACTGTGTCTGACTCTCTTTATTCCAGTATGCAAGATTAGGAAAGTTATTTCAGCAAATCCCTGCCTGAGGGTCCCATTTTAAAACTTTGATGGTGCTGGTAAATTCTCCATCATTTTACCGTTGTGAAATAATTTAAGTCAACTAGGTGGCCTTAAGTAAGCTGGGGATCCCACCTGCTGGTCAGATCCTGTTTCCCACCCCTGCCTTAAAAGAAGCATCATATACAAATAAACCAATCCATTAGTTTCAGTTGCAGTCTTGAGTTCATAGTTTTATGTCACTGGTCATGCCTTACTTGCTTTTTCACTGGGTTGCTGATGAGCAAATATAAGTGCTGATTAGAGGGCCCAATTAACTCTGATGCACTGGCCCGGAATTATTGGCTGGGAATAGACATACTTTTGTTGCATCTCCAGCTTAACCTACTGCACCAAACTGTTGTGATTGCAAAATGAGATAATTCTCCATGTAGTCTGCCAGAATCTTGGAGGGAGGGTACAGGTTGCATAGAGAAAAGCTAAGTCCCAGAGACCCTCATCAGATCCCTCACTAAGAGAAGTGAAGTTACAGGGAACCAGGCAGAGGGCCTTTTCAGTAGTGGTGCCCTCCCTGCGAAATGCCCTCCTATCAGATGTCAAGGAAATAAAGAACTACTTGTATGGGGAAGTTGTTCATGTTTGACTTTTATTATGGTTTTATATCTGTGGGAAGCTGCCCAGAGTGTCTGGGGCAACTCTGTGGCTGGGGTTCACTGTGACTATGATGACTGCATAGGGCTGTCACACCAGCTTTGAACCAGACATGCTTTTCACACTGCAGATCCAGAGATTATTTGCCTTCTGTTGGTTTAGTGATATCGACTCTTAGCTGTCACCGATGTCCTTGAATCTGATAACAATATTGGTGGAAAAGTGTAGCTAAGAGGTAGAAAAGGGAAGGATGAAAATTGCTTTCAGCCAAGGAACTTAGGACAATATACTTATGTTTGTATATGAAGGAATAATGGTTACAAAACTATGACAAATTCTCTCTGTGGGGCAATTCAATTCTGTGCTCTTCTGATCTTTCCATCAGTGTAAGCATAGCTTCTACTAGCACACCAGGTTGGTCGATTCGGGCCACACACACACACACACACACACACACATTTTGTGGTCTCATTGATGAGTTCAAGTCAAATGACTCTATTTTAGCTTCCTTGAACAAAAATTTTCAGACACCAACAGAAATGTGGAGACAAGCAGACCCAAACTAAAAACATTCACATTGCAATTTAGGTTTTTGCCACCAAGTGGTGCTAAATCCTTGTTTTACTTTTACATCTAAAGATTTAGCAAAGTGATTTCTAGATGAGATACCTGCTGCACAGGTATGTTCTTCCTTCCTTTCTGAGAACTAGATCCCAAAAATGCCAAAATAAAACCAAAAGGGCGCTGCAGTATTATGTTACCGGACTAACTTATGTTGGACTAACTTGAAATGGAGTGATGTATGCTTAGCTTTTGACACCTCTTCTTTATCATATTTTAATTAAATGTCATGTTCACATGAACATGCTACCCCTGGTATTTACCCCTGGATTTTAAAATGAGAAATACCCTCACAAGAACAGGGTATGTGGTTTCTAAACAATCATAGCTGCACTTCTGTACAGTGCAGTTCCTTAAAAGCCACACCACTAATGCCAAATGTTTATTTATGCTTGAAGGGAAGGCAGTTTTGCACATGCTCAAGGCATGCTCATTCCCCCCCCCCACTCCATAGTGGTGTAATGGGTCAGGGGTGGGCAGGGACAAAGCACCACCACTTATTTCACAGCAGGGACAACGATGTCATCTCCTGGGGTGCTATCGACTAATCCTCTGTATTGCCAAATAAATAAGCTCTTCTCGGAGAGAAACCCACCAGCATAAGCTACTCAAGGGGCAATAGTACAAAGCATGTTGGGGTAAGGGTTAAACTGCTGCTTTTATTTTGGGGGGAAAACCCCAAAATCACTTTATTATGACCAACCAAATTGTGAACAAGCTTTTGAGTCCACCAAAACTCTTCATCAGCCTGGATCAAGGGTGGGGTGTCATAAGGTCTGCACATGTCAATAATTCAATTTGTTATATAGTCATAGAAGGGGTGTGGCGAAGAGGGATCATGAATACCACCTGTACCTCAGAATTTACAAGTACATCACTCTCTCTCTCTCTCGTGTGTGTGTGTGTGTGTGTGTGTGTGTGTGTGTATACACACACACACACACACACGTTCACATGAACTAGGTTTATGTTACCCAGGGCTTGTCTACATTTGAGCATTATTTAGCTGCTAATCCACTTTCCCTCATTTGAATTTGACCAGAGTAATCCACACATGCATATTTGAAACTGAATATGAAGAGCAACTTCAGTCTTTTCCTGTCATGCCACGAGGTGTTCCCTTTTGCACTTGCCCCTGCTTTCGAATTTATTGATTCTCTCACCCCCATGCACACAGCTATCTGTGTATGCACCTGATTTCGTTTCGTTTTTTAAAAAACAAATTTTCCCTGCGCAGTAAGTGCACAAAAGCACACCACCAGGTAATTGTAAAGACTTGGCACACAATTTTTAATGTGGTTTGCTTGCACGGTTTTCTGAAAGTCCAAAGGATCAAAAGAGAGTGCACTGGAAATAACTCAAAGGAGGGCAGGAATGGAAAGGAAAGCATTGAGGAAGTAGTGGGCATGGAAAGTGGGGTAGCAAAAAGTGAGGATTGATCCACCCACCCCAAAACACTGAAACAAATAGTCCATGATCCTGAGTGAAGCGCTTTGGGTCTGATTTTCCTTGACTTATTCGTTTATCTCTGTATCGTTTAAACCTTAATTTTCAGGGGGGAAACATTGAGACTTTGAAACATCATGTGGTCTATGCAAATTAAAGGTAAAGGGACCCCTGACCATTAGGTCCAGTCGTGACCAACTCTGGGGTTGCGGCGCTCATCTCGCTTTATTGGCTGAGGGAGCCGGCGTACAGCTTCCGGGTCATGTGGCCAGCATGTCTAAGCCGCTTCTGGCAAACCAGAGCAGTGCACGGAAACGCTGTTTACCTTCTGCTGGAGCGGTACCTATTTATCTACTTGCACTTTGACGTGCTTTCGAACTGCTAGGTTGGCAGGAGCAGGGACCGAGTAACGGGAGTTCACCCCATCGCGGGGATTCGAACTGCCAACCTTCTGATCGACAAGTCCTAGGCTCTGTGGTTTAACCCACAGCACCACCCGCGTCCCTCAAATTAAGAAGTAACAAAAACAGCTGCAAACACACAGTAAACTCCAGTGTGGACAAACCCTCAATCATGTATCCCCATGGTTGTTTTACACTAAAATGCAGTGACAAAAATAGTGTCTTCTGTTTCCCTTCCAGACTTGGAAAGGATGAGTGAAATTGTGTCCTACTGTGTCTAAAACGTTCATCATCACCCTCATCTGTCCTCTTTCTGGCTTGCTGAACTATCAATTAAGATATGTGTAGTGAAAATTTATGGCAAACCCAATAAAAGTTATTAGTATCACACTTGTGGAAATAAGTGCTTGTATACACAGGCAGACAACTGTCCCCTCTCCTAAAGAAACTGGTATTTTTTTAATGAAGATCTGCCCATCGAAAAGGAGAAAAATCCAGCTTTCCATTCCATTATTTAACTTCCTCTCTCTGAATATTTATATAGTCCTATGGTGAGATAGTCACATTTTTGGGTCTATCAAAATAGTATCACAGCAACAACAGGAAAGAAATGTAATCAATTAATTAAAATAAGCAACGGTTTAAGAGGGCAGATGGTTCTTTTGTATTCCCTAACCCTAGCCATTTAAATCCCAACGAAGGTAATTTTTGGTCAACAAACACAGATTCCCACCCCTCTCCAGAGGCCAAACAGATCAGCTCTTGACCAGCTATAATAGCAGAGCATGAACATAGTCCGAGGTTAACAGAAATCCAATAAGATATCAAATCAGTTTGGGCTTTTATTTTATTTTCTAAACAAGCGGGAAGAATTGTGACGTGCCCTAGCACAGAAAGCCTTTCTCCCTATCTCTTAGCTCCATTGTGCCTGGGTGAACAAAGCCAAGAGGTGTAATTTAAAGGTGCTTTGACCTCCCGTGAGCAGCTTCATCCATTGTTGTTCGGGGATTTCTCCCCCCCCACCGAGATCTCGCCTGATCATAAATATGCATGAAGAAAAGAACCCCTCAGTGGGGGCTCATAACTAGCTTAGGTAAAGTCCTTTCTGAGTTTCCCACTTTCAACTTCCTGGCATAGAAATTAGAGGACCACACCACCGGATTAACCCAGCTGGTGTTCCTGTTCTATGCAGAATCATAACAATCATTATAATTATCACTTACAGAAGGGGGCTTATCATATAACAGCTTCTTTTTTTTCCCCTCCCCCTTTCCTAAGGGGAGACAGAAGGGGTGGGTGGAGAGATCCTTCCAACCGCAGAGACTTGTGTCTTCATTCATTATTTCCCAAACGAGTCAGTGGAAAATTGAAGTCCCTGAGCAATTTTCAGATTATGCACTCCATACAAGAGAGTTGCTGAAGAGTATACACAAACCATCATTTTGTGTCTGTCTCAGGCCCGGAGCGTAGGAGAGGTGCGTGCTTAGGGAATGTCAGGATTTATTTATTTTTTTTTAAAGAAGCTTTAAGGCAGGAGGTGTAAGCAACCTTGCATTTTAAAGCCTACAAACTCCAGCCTTCCTGCTCTGCTCCTACTGAATTAATCTCCCTCCAGCCCTTCTTTCTTTTACTTTCTTGGACTCAATGAATTGTGGTCAAGGCCATTGTAACGTGAGCACTCCCTGGGATGGGATTGGCTAAAGGAGTCTCCGAGAGGCCCCTTTTCACAGGGGACTAATTGCTTTAGACCACCAGTATTTGGGAGCTACAGATGTCTTCCTTAATTTGCCTAGAGAGCACAATTGGCCCCATCTGTTGCATTCTCCCCCCCTTCCCCTCCTCCCTCTCATGTCGCCTTCTTCCTCCTATCTCCAAAGGGCCTAAATTGAAAACTCATCAAAAAGTAATACAAGAGCAGTTTGGCTGGAAAGCCACTGCCGAGGGGGCTCTGGCTTTTAATAAGAGCTCCCCTGCTACTTCTGTGCACAGGCCGAAGGCCAGAGAAAAGCGTTAAGGAAGCAGGAATGACCCGGAGGAAGAATAGGAGCTGGGTGGGGAGGAGTTACAAACCAAGAACCAGATGGGATACTCGCAGGAAGAATAATTTGATGTCATAGCTAAATGGGGTATGCAGAGGAAACGGCATGTGTTTTGATGTACACACACAGCAAATAAAAAATATTAAAAAAATAGACGGGCTTTCGGAAAGTTCAGTCGAATGGCCAGGGTCATTCATGGGAGAATATTCATTGCCTTTCTGTTTATCACCTACCCAAATGCACCTGTCACGCCTCATCCTGCCCCCAACTAGATTCCCCACATCCCAACATAGGCTTAGCTAGGGATCGCTAACAACAGGTGAGGTTGCAAACCTGTTTCTGAAGTTCACATACGTGAAAGCTTTTCCATAGAGCAGGGAAAATCCATGCACTTAGAAAGCTAGCATGTTATCACTTTTCTCTTGTTTTCTATGAACTGGGTTGTTGTCTTGCTTTGATATTTAGTCTGTGAGTTCCCATCTGTAGTCTGAAGTAATACAGGGCAGTATTAAACTAAGCATTTGTACTAGCACAACGGAACTTTTATCTCTCTCATTCCTCTGTGCATGCACAACACCATCCCCATATTTGCTCTGGAAGCTTGTGGGAACTCTCAACACAGATTGGGGGCACAGGAGGAGGAGAGCGGGAGAACATCTCATTGAGCAAGGAGAAATTGTTGTGCTGACAGAACATTCTCCTTAGCACTACGTTGAATACAACCCTTAGTCCATAAACAGTTTTGCCACCAGCTTGGTGTCATGGCCTTGAGATCCACCTTCCCATCTTCAGGGGATGACATGGTGGACCTGAAACAAGGAGAAGATGGTGAGAGTGAATTTTTCACAGAGCTAGCTAAGATGGTCTCCACTGCCCCAGAATGTCCAGCACTGGAGAAAGTCAGTTTGTCAGTACCCCCTCTCCCTTCTAAGGAGGCTGTGTTGTCAACCTGACTGAAGTTCCAACAGAACCACCGTCTGAAAGAGGAAGAGTCCTTTTAAACAGAAGAGCTCCTCCCATGGTGGGGAGTAATTGAGTGGTGCAGCTAACCACACAGAGCTCAGTTTGAGGTCACCTGGTGCTGTAGCAACATTCTAGCCTTGCTCCAGCTCCAGCATCTGAGGTCTGTTTGGAATGCCTCACCTCCTTGGTCTACTACAGTCATTACTGAAGGATAACATTTCACTGTTTGTGAGAATGAGGTCATTTGCACTATGAGTCAATGCAACTTTCCTGACTGTCTGTTCTGCATCTGATTATTTCTCTCCCGGCATCTCTTTCCTTCCCTTTCGCTATTTCCCGTTCCGTGGCTACTTGGCAGTGGGACTCTTCACCTCCAGGACAGCCCATTTTAGCAAAAGGACAGGAACTTACCCATCTTCTTCTGTTGAGTGGAGGTGAATGCACATTCTGGGCACGATGCAATGAAAATGTTTGCAAGAAGTGCTTTGCTGCTTCCTACATGAAAGGCTGTGGCAATTTTCTTTCAATTTATTAAAACTACAGCATCGCTTTCCTTCCTGTCATGTTGGAACTAGCAAGAAGTCTGTTGGCTGGAACCGCATGCATTTCTTCCATTTAAATGCATGGAGATTTACAAGTGCCACACAACTAGTGTTGTAGCTGGGCCAGTTCTGTATAGGTCTGGCAGTGACCCAGGCTGGAGAGATAAAGATTGTCCTTTGCAATCTGTGCTAATATGAGAACTGACTAAAACACCTATATAAACCTGAAAGAACTAATCCCATCTCTTCTCTTCTCTTCTCTTCTCCCACCCTAACAATCTCAGAGATAATGTAGGTAAGGTGATACCTTTCAGAAGCAACATATGTGGACAAGGAATTAATCTGACAACCTGAGCCTCATTTTCACTCCCAGCTAAATCCCCATCTGAGCCTAGTACAAGTCAATAAGCAAACCCACTGCTAGAGATATCACACTTACGCTTCTGTAGAGATTACTTGAATCTCATAGTGAAGTTTTGCATTTACTCCCCAGAGCCAAATTATATATTTTTTTGGTCTCAGTGCATAGCATTGAACAATATCAGCAACCATAGCAGTCTCTATTGCTGTTAGATA